TTTTCTCTCTCTCTTTTTTTTTCTCTATCTTCCAATTTACTCTGTTTTTTCATCCAAAAATGTTTCAACTGCATTCCCAATTTTCTTACTCGCCATCCTTCTCCTCACCTTCTTCTTTTGGGTCAATGATATGCAGCTTTTTTACCTTGCATTTTCGCAAGAATTTATTTTCACATCTAACATTGTAACTTCTTGATCACATGGCGCCATATACCAATGCGCCATGGTGTAAAGTAGCCTTTGATCCACAAGAAAAAGAAAAATACAGAAGTACAGTATCTGGTAGGATAACTCATGAATATACACCGCTTTGTTAACATGAATATTAACAAAAAAAAAAGGGACTAAGACTGAGAAATTTCAGTAGCCTGGATTGTGCAACTCGATCTTCAACTAATAGTAATGCAGATTCAGTTGCCACAGATAGAGGTAAACAAAATATATATACACTTTTATACATCATACAACAGTCTATACACGTTGGATAGATAAAAGTGACTGGGATACAAAAAATATACAAAATTAGACTGACACTATACAAAAATAGACTGTCACTGTACAATTTATATACAATATACTATCACTATACAAAATATATACAATAGATTGTCACTACATAAAATATATACAAAATAGACTGTCACTATATAATGAATATACACTAATGATACATTAGGGATACACTAAAATATAGAGGATACACTTTATATACAAAATTTATACAATGTAATAGTATATATACAATTTTTATACATTTTATAATTGTCACTATACAAAATATATACAAAACAGACTGTCACTATACAATGAATATACACTAATGATAAATTAGGGATACACTAAAATATAGAGGATACACTTTATATACAAATTTATACAATGTAATAGTATATATACACTTTTTATACATTTTACAATTGTCACTATACAAAATATATACAAAATAGACTGTGACTATACAATGAATATACACTAATGATACAATAGAGATACACTAAAATATAGAGGATATACTTTATATACAAAATTTATACAATGTAATAGTATATATACAAATTTTTATACATTTTATAACAATTTATATATAATTTTTATAATATACACTGAAAAATATAGATACACTTATATACAAAATTTATACAATGTGTATTTAAAATATTTAATACATTGTACAACTATCTATCTATCTATCTATCTATATATATATATATATATATATATATATATATATATATATATATATATATATATATATATATATATATAGTATTTATATAAAGTTAAATATAAGTATCATCCAAATACCCTATTAAATTCATACCCACCATCGATACTCACTGTAAAAGTTCTTCACTCACAAAACACTACTATGACCGAAGAAGAAGAAGAAAAAGAAGAAGAAGAAGAAAAAGAAGAAGAAGAAGAAGAAGAAGCAGCAGCAGCAGCAACAACAACAACTTGACTAGAAAACCCCACGACTTTTTGCTGCCACTCTTGTATCATGCATCGTAATTGAGTAAATTTAATAATTGAATTAAAAAAATTGTGATATTTTTAGGTACTCAAACAAATTTTTCTAGTGAGAAGTAAAAAAAAAAAATAAGAAAAATATAGATTTGAAATGAGAGATAGAGAAGGGAAGGAAAATAAAGAAAGATAACCAAAAAAAGATAAAAGGAAGACGAAGAAGACACAGAGAAAGAAAGAGGATAGGAATGAAAATGGTAATGGGGAAAAAAATCTAGTGCATTGGATAGAATGGAAGAAAGATAAAAAGGTGTGCATCGGATAGAATGAAAGAAAGATAAAAAAGGCTAGGATTAAATGTTGTATTGGGAAGATAAATGCATTGGAAATAGATAATGGCTACAAGTTGCAAATAAATTGGGCCGAAAGGCCATTTTATATAAGTGGGTAAAAACATGGGCTATTAAAATTTTGATGGGCTATAGAGGATAGTTTTCTCTTGAAAAGTAGGGATCACAGTTGTCCTTATGTGAAATTTTCCCCATAAAAAACTAAAGGAAGGGATTTGGCAGCACATAATTTGGGAATTCAATCTTCTATCAGCACCTATCCTCTAAGAATTCTCCATTCCGTTCTCAAAATTTTTAGAGATTTTTACATGCTTGGTCCCTTTTTAAAAACTATTCTCATCAATGATAGTAACCTTCGTTTATTTCAAAAACAGCATATTTTTTTACCTTTTTAGCACTTTCACATTGATAACTCCATTAACTAATGGATCCCTCTACATTAATACACTTTTTACTATATTTCCTTTTCCCGCACTATTCCATAATTTCTTTTTTCTCTTTCATAAATAACTCTTACCCAAATATATCAAAGATTTTGAAAGAAGAATATCTCAAAGATAATTTCCTCTGCACAATGAGAATTTCAATATTTTTTTCTTTTTTGAGATTTAAACTTTTTTCTATACAATTTTATTGTAACTCAAAATATACCTATAATATATATTAAGTATATTATATTGTGATAATTTACAATGAAAATATTCCATCAATATATATATATATATATATATATATATATATATATATATATATGTGTGTGTGTGTGTGTGTGCGCGCGCGCGCATTTATAACACATATATAACTTATTTATATACATCATAGCACATTATTATATTGATATATTCAAAGTATATTTCTAGCATATACCTTACATAAAATTCAATCTCAAATATTAACATGCCACTATTATGTATATAGAAGAAAATAAATATGCCACATATACTATTTATATACGGATAATTTATACAAATATGCATGTTATATTAGTGCAAAATATAAATGACATATTAATAATATCTATTTAAATATAAATAAGTTTATAACTAACATATGCATATATACATGATTTTTCCTAAAATAAAACACATGATTTATAATATACCACAAACATACATTATATTTTTTTTCACGAAATATATGTATTTTATTTCGTTGGAATATACAAATATATTATTTTGCTAAGATTAAGTTGAATAAAAAGGTCCATGTATAAAAAGGAAAAAAATTGTTATGAAATAGATCGATGATATGTATTTAAATATAAAGATGTATATAAACAACATATGCATATATACATGAATTTTCCTTAAAAAAATACGATTTATAATGTATATATACCACAAACATACATTATAATTTTTTCATAAAATATAAAGATGTATAATTTGGTACATTACATTATATAAAAGGTCCATGTATGGAAAGGAAAAAATCAATTATGGAATGGATTGGTTTCTAACGAAAACTTAAAATATGTTATGGAATGGAGAGAAACAATAGGGAAAGATATTAAATACTAGGACTGCCTTTTTAAACAGCTTAAATCATGCTGATTTGAATTGAATTAAATCTGCTATATGTATAAATATTTTTACTGCTATATTTGTTAATCATTAATTAATGCTAATCTTTTGTAATATATTTTTAATAGTGTGCTATCAATGAAAGTAGCTTAAATTTTTAACCATATAATTTCAGCCAAGCATGAGGAGGGTATGTACATTGAACAAGCTGCACATTGTAGCTAAACTATGATAAGGTTTATCTTAAGGATGCTGTTTTGACTTGAGCTTTTGAATTATAAGGGTGTTTGGCTAAGCTTATAAGCTGGTCAAACTAGCTTATAAGCACTTTTCGACTTATTTACGTGTTTGGTAAAGTTAAAAGTGCTTATAAGTCAAGAATAAGCCATAAGCTGGTCCCTTATGAATTTTTAGCTTATAAGCACTTTAAGTTTGACCAAGACTTTTACTATTTTATTTTTTAAATATTCCTTTTTAGAACAAAACTCCTACATCTATACTCACTGCCTCAAGTATTTTTTTCAACCTAAACCCCCCGCCTCTTCAAGTCTGCAATTCTCATTGGCTATAAGATAAGCAAATTCTCTATTCCTTTACATATTTATATCTATGTGATTGTGTATCTTTGAACTATATGTAATAAATGCGAACATATCAAATTTTTGGTGTATTGCTTTCTAAGTGTTGTTTCTTCTTCAAATATTTTGTCCTATTTAGGTTTATTTTTTACTGAGAAACTTTTGTCAATTTATTAATTAATACTTATAACTTATGATTACTGAGAAACTTTTGTCAATTTATTAATTAATACTTATAACTTATGATTGTATGCTTATCATAAAATAAATTATATTTATCATAAAAACTATCTTATCTAAGCACAGTTGTATTTAAAATAAAACGACAAATAGAATATTTTATATTTGAATCGATCTGGAATCTAAAATTTTGAAGAAACTACGCCCTTATAAGTGTAAACAGTTCTAAGGTTATTTAAGTTATTTTAATAGAAAAAGAGCTTATCAACACTTTGTATCAAATACTGCAATAACTTATTATCAATTTCAGTACTTCGTTTCACCACTTAAAAGTGCTTTTCAGCTACTTCAAATCAGCTAATCCAAACGGGCTCTATGACTCACCAAATCAAATAAATGATGGTTTGAAAGTTAATTTGAAACTAAGGAAATGAAGATGATTTCAGGAGAGTGGCAGCATAGATGGAAATGCGACTGATTGAATCTTTCCAAAAAGAGATGACTTTGTCATAGGCTGATGATAAGGCCCAATCACAATTCTTTTTCTATGTTTGATATTCAAAAAATTGCTTGACCAATGAATGGATTATTTCAATTTTCTATACTTATACGCGTTACACTTCAGACATGTTATCAGTTAGTTTTATCTTGAATGCTTCTTCTTATCATTCTGGAATGAGGAAATTTCAGTTAATGCCTTAGTTTCAAGATTATCAAGCAAATAATGTTTTGCTAAGAACCTAGAATGCTAAATAAACATCTCTGGTAGGATATCCCAACTGCTGGGGCGGAGCTAGAGCTTCAGACGCGAGTTTGGCAGAGCCCAGTAGCTTTGGTCCAAATTATGTGATTGTCATTAAAAGTTCATTAAATACGTACAAATTATTAATTTAGAACCCATAGAAGGAACAAAATTCCGAACCCATTAACTTAAAATCCTGCTCCGCCTCTCACCCGAGATATACATGTACGTACACATCAAATGCAAAAGGCAAAAGAGGGAAGCAGATACTGCTTAGAATTCCTGATACAGTGATACGTTTATACAATCCATTAAAACCTCTAAAATTAACTTTAAAGTGTTATCAACAAATGGAGGCTACATTCTAGATAGGAAAACAAGATGGATAATAAGCAGCAGCTCCCCGAATGTCTGATCATTCAAATGTTTGTGTCCTGTATTATTGGCTGGAAACAACAGCATTTTCATCAACTGGTGCCGGATCAGCCACAGGTGACTTCTTTGCAAGGGACTTGGGTATGTCAATGTCATCTTGACAACAACGTTGCTGAGGATGGGATAGAAGTGTGCAGATATGACGGAAGAGGACACGAGTAAGCCCCTGACCACTCTCAAATATGTAAGCCTCATATTCGCTGACAAGTTCAAGGGCCTCCACGAGGGCATCATACACCTTCTGAGGACAGTTGTCAGGTCCAGGCTTGTCGTGAAGGTAAACTACATCCAAAGTGAAAAGCTTTTGAGTAGCAGGCCATTGATGCTGTGGTGGTATTGACGACCTACAATATAGGAGTATCTGCATATATTGAAGAGAAGCATGAATGAGATGCTTCCCGTGAAATGCACATCTAAATAGCTACTCAGAAGGCAAATATCATTTTAAACTCTAAAAGACGGATATAGCAAGCACTCCCATAGAGCATAGTGAGAGCATATTAACAATCAACTAAGGTTCAGAAGACCCACAGAGGCATCTCGTTCTCAACTTTAATGTACTGTCGGATATTCTGTCACCTCACTAGGCTGGTTTACTTTTTCCCTTTTTTATATTTTGTTTGAACTAGGCAGAGTTACTTGAAATCGCTAAAATTATAATATCCTGATAAGTACTAGCATGAGGCCATCACAGTGCACAATGTTTGCAGCAGGATAGCGTAGGTGCAAAGGGGCATCTCTATGTACTTGAAGCAGCACTTTTTTGAGATGCCAACTTCATTTGAGATTGGCAACTTGCAAAGGAACCATACAAAATCCATATAAATGATTAATCAAGTGAAAATAGTTAAGATTATTGTTCCAGTTCATTTCATGATATACTCTTTCATTACAATAAAGAATGGATCTCTTACGTTGAAAAAGGGGGGGAACAACTTCTATATAGTAAGCTGAATCTAGTGAAATGATGCTAACATCCTATAACCCCTTCATTTTGGAAACAAGTAAAGAGAGAAAAAGCGAAAACAAGAACAATAAATATCTATTTATATCATGTGACTTCCTTCACTTCACCTCCTCTTGGTTTTTTTTCGTTTCATATGAACAAAGAAGGGTTACTCCTGTGTACAAGAGACATGTGAGACAAGAAGCTAAAGGTAAATGATGTCCCCCAAAACAATAATGAAAGCAGGGATTCATGTCAAAGCCTTACCTGTCAGAGGGAGATCAAGGGAAAGCATTTATAAGGTTGCTATGCAGTAAGGATGATTTGTAAAATAGTTTTGTTTAAGAAAATAAAAAGTCATATAATATAACAACAATAATAATAGTAAGTTGAAAAGTTGTAATTAGATGTATTTATAAGGAAGGTACTAGATGGAAAGTAATCAATAGAAGTCTCGTATCCAAAGTCCAAAGTAGAAAGTAATTTCTAGAAAGAATACTTGAGCACTGTAATCACCTGGACGAGTTGACAACAAGTGGCAACTCCTATACCACCTCATGAATGGCACTTCCTCTGCCCCAAATCAATTGTCCCTTTTCTCTTTAGTTTGACTATCTGCTGCCTAAAAGAGAGTTTTAACACATACCATTTTCCTTTTTTTTTTTTTACAATTAAGTTCTATCCCATTTTATTTAACCAAAAGGGCACATGCAGCCTATTTTGACACTTCTACAGCTTTTCTCAACTATTCCTGGATAACATATACATGTTCCCTGATCCAACTCTATGTAAGAAACATAGAACTTCTATCTTAATCCATGAGGCTTACATGAACTTCCATTTTGCGTGGGCGCGGTAACTCCTAGACCATTACTTATTACGTCAAATTTCGCACATATAAGTGTAACCCTTCCAACCCGTCTAGGTTGAAAATAAATTCATAGATGGGTCAATTTGGGCAACCAAAAAATAGCATAAAATTTTTGGTTGGTTCGGTCCTGTTAGGTATATTTCTTTCTCTACACTTTCACACACTTCTTTGAAGAAAAGAAAAGTTGCTTCTCGTTTGATTTGGAGTTAAACAAATTATTAAAAAACAAACAAGCAAATGAAAAAATGAGTTTGAACTGGGGTTGGTTTGTGGCCCAATTTTTAGCCCAAAGATCCAAGCAAACTTTGGTTGGGTTGAGTCATGACTCGTGCAGTGACTTAACCTGTTTTAAGTAGCCAAATTCGGCCCAACCCACCTATTTGACACCCCTACTAATTACTAATTAAGCAAATGACCAGTAAAACAATGTCGAGGGCTGACATGTATAAAGTGAAGTGGCCCAGATAATTCTATAGAATATCTCACATCCTTACATCTGCTGTCCAAGAAAGGAGACAGGTCCACCAAGAGTGCCATCTCATAAGCAAAACTACTGTGTTGTCCTAGCCTTTTCCTGTCTCTCCACCAATCAAAATCTAAACAGATTTCTGAAGCACACAATGATATATTCAGCCGAGGTTGAAAAACAGCCTGCTAAAGCCATATAGACCGGACTCCGGAAGGTTCTCTATTTCTCACTTTTTAACTTTTTATGCATGATTCCGGCTTTCAACACATTTCAGAACTCAACTCTCCCCTTCCTCTTTGCTTTGTGAAGTACCACATTAATGGTCATCCCAAAGGTTGAGCCAAAGAGAAGAAAATGCCATGTCATCAACCTTGACTGTACAGTTTGATGGATAAGCTTACAAACCGGGAGGCTTCTCTTTTTCTTTGGTTTTACCTTTTGACTCCAGATTCCAATAAATCCCAGAAATATCAGCAGCCGGTCGCTCTTGACTCGTCAACAACCCAAAAGCAATAAGATGTTCACTGCTAGAGTTCTTTCAAATATAAGAATGTTTTGGTAGAAAGCAATGACTGGAGTTAATGAATAAAATGGACAAATTAGTGGCACCAAGACAAGCTAATCTGGAACTTTTTGCCCCATCTACACTCGAAAAAAATTATATATATGGTTACTTGACAGAGAATAAGCTAGAGAATAGCTAGATGAAAAATCGCATTCAAGTGATATATCTCTACGGTGTTACAATCAAGCAGTTTATTTTCTGTTCCATGCATGAATTGATGATATTTGACGAAGCAGTCGTATGCGCCAGCTACATTTTTAGTTTTGAAATGTGGCTTTCATAAAAGGAGAAGGATAGAGTGAGTATCTGGCTTCAAAGAAACTGCTCTCTTTTAAGGTAGTCTCATATGTAGCATAAGCCCAGTTAAGCATGCACCAGCAGAAATTCAGGAAGAGACTATAAAGCAAAAATTCGGTTGACGTTTTAACCATTCAAAGTCACTATTAAGGATATGTTACAGTGAAAAAATGGGAGCCTACAAAATACATTTGTGTTTTAGCATGAAAATTGGTTACCCAGCAGAGAAAATGAAAGGCAACAAAACATTTGTGTTATAACATGGAAAAACTTACCACCCGGAGTATCCGATTTTGAGCACGTGATTTCTTTGCTTCATGGGAAGCGAGCCGAAATAGTTGAGTAAGATCAGCGTGACCACAAGATGAATTTACTGTGAGACCCCGAAGAGCAGAATTGGCCATCTCAATGTCACTGCTGAACTCTTTCTGGAGCTTCACAAATAGAAAATTTTGGAGATCGTTTAGTTCCAATGAAGTTGTGATTATATATAGCAACTGCTAGATAGAAGTATCATGAAGGAGACATGGTGATGAAAGAACAACTAAGCGAAGCGGAAAAAAATTTGACTTGAATTTGCACCATGTAAAAAAATCAAGTACACTCTTGGCCCTACCAATTCGCCATATTCCCAATGCTTTTTAAAAAACTATGCCTAAATAGGAGACAAGACATTTTTGAATGAAATGCACAAACGCAAAATTCTAGAATTCAGCACATTCTTGGACAATTCTCATAGTAGAATCAAACAAGTATACCTGCCACTTAACTGGTAAGTATTCCCAACAAACAAATATTTCTAAGGTCAATGTAGAATCAAAAACATACACAGCAGCAAACAATCAACCACTACTTCAGTTTCATCTTGATATTATAAAGCACGCACAGTTGACTGCTAAAGGAACACTCGACATGCAGGATAAGATTATAAAGAGAGATTCTTTTTTGAAGTATCAAAAGCAGAGGGTGGATGTACCACTAAAGCTACAGGTTCGGCTGAACCCAATAACTCCTATGTATGTGTCACGAAATCTACTAAATATGTATAAATATTAAATTTCGAACCCAATAACTCAAATGATCAGTGTCATCCCGAACCCATAAAGTTCACATCTCGGATCTCCCTCTGAATTAACTCACTTAAGTGCAAAGCATGGCCAACGCCAAACCCGAATAAATGGGGTGGGATGCAGTAGGTTACAGTCAGCATAAAATTAGTCTAACTTTGATGGATCCAATACTGAATAAGTAGAGTGGAATAGATACAAAGGATACAAATAGCCGACGCCAGCTGGATTTGGATTGTGCATAGCTAATTGACTGATTGACATAGTATCAAATAGTATTGAAGAAAAAAACTATCTAAATTAAAATATTGAAGTAGATCCATCAAGTCCTTTATGTGACACAATATATTTTTTGAGAGTCTCAATGGCTGTTTTGACACATTTTGAAGTGCACATCATCATTATCTATGAAAATGAGCTAAAATGTCCAGTTTCAATCCAGAATTGGTTAATTTGACTCTCGAAAAATCTCAGACATACAAGGAATAGGCAAAACTGAGTGATCTATCAACATCAAATTACTCGTAAAAGAAAAGCAAAGGAAAATCAGTGGGGCCACATAAGCAAACTGGAAACAAACAATAAGCATTTCAATGAGGTCTTGCTTCTATTATCTCAATTCCCACTCGTGTCTTACTTACAGTCTATTTCCTTGTAAAATTTTCCTGAAATTATACGAGTGATCGGTTTCAATAAGGAGCCACATACTACAAAGATATACGTACTGTTAATAAGGATGACTGAGGACATAGTGTCCCCAATGATACTTTCCTTTCACAAGGATTTAAGCAAAAGTTACACTTATAAGGATTTATACTTACCCACGTGTGACCTAGGAGTAAATGAAATGGGTGAAAACCATGCAAGACTATAGTTCCCAGAAGATTATATGCTAGGCGATGCTACTTGGGTGGAAGAGTTATCTGTTACAGTATTCGTGGGAGGCAGCAGGTACCAAGTGAAATAGTTGAGGTGAGCGCAAGCTCACCCGAACACCATCATTACCAAAAACAAAAGAAAAGGATATGTTCGTATATATTTATAATTGCTATTGCAGAAAACTTGTTCACATCTTATATCATATCTTCCAACTTTTCAACCACTTATCAATGAACATTCTCTATATTTGGAACTTTTGTATATGAGGCCTGCACCTCAACAAAACTATAAAATAAACCAATAATTGCATAGCGAGTTCCTGAGAAAATTTGTCAGCATTCCTATTCTGATCTATCAAACTTAAAGCTTTGGGAAGATTTCTATAATCTCACTTAATAACCAGAAAATGACAAATGTTGTGAGAGAGCATTAGGATCGATTACTAGCATTTACTGAACACGTTAACAGAACTCTTTACTTTAGTTTGAGGTTTAGATGAATTACAGTCAAATAGTCTAGGGATAAATAAACATTATGCCCTGCTTAGGGAAATAGAGCAACTAGAAGGCCAAGGTAGTGAGCAGGGTTGTGAAAAGCGCTCGCTTCCTCGCTTAAAGCGAGAAGCGAAGCGAAGCGACCCCTTACCCGCTTCTGCTATATGAAGCGACTCAGGTAGACAAAAGCGTGCGCTTCCCACTAAAAAGCGAGAAGCGACGAAGCAAAGCGAAGCGAATCGAGCGAAGCGTGCACTTCTTTGTTTCAAACAGCTGCCAGCCTATTTAATTAAAAAAGAAGGGTGTTCAGTATTCTTTTATTAAAACACGACCAGCAGCAACAGCGACTAGGGTCCCTTTTCAACTTCAACAGAGATTCAGCAGCAGCAGCAACAGGTATGTGATGATTTCTTCTTCTTCTTCTTTTCTTTCACTGTTTCAGCGTCCAAATAGCAGCGAAATGCTGGCGAATTTTTTTTTTTTACCTTCGGTTCTTCTTTCTAAGTCTTCTCCTCTTCGCTGAAATGTTGCCCAGTTCTTCTTTCATTGTTTTTATGCTGCCTAGTTTTTAACAGAATGGTATACTACCCCTCCTCTTATTTTAATATCTTTTTTAAATTCCGCTTCACTTCAAAAAAGCGAGTGCTTCGCTTCTCGCTTCTTGCTTTAAGCGAAATGCGGGTTGTCGCTTTTCCTCGCTTCACGCTATTCACAACACTGGTAGTGAGTGATAATGCCCCAAGAGCTCACCAACACGCCGCATAGCTACTAAGAAGTCACCCCGGTATCCTATGACAAGGTCACATGCTAAGGAACTTTAAGAGAAGCTAGTTGGTCTACAAATTACAATTAAGTGCTTTTTACTGAAGGTGAGCTAAAAGACTTGAAAATATCTCATAGGTACTTCAATGTGCTTGTGACATCATTGAAAGAGCATATGGAGGCAATTTGGACTCAAGGAGTTGCTAGAAACGAAGTTCAGGCTCAAGAGTCAAGCCTAGCGCCCTGCAATGAAATCTAAAGTCGGAACAAGTGGCCCATTAACTCAAAGCCACGCAATGCACTGGACTATGCCCCAGCAGGTGGTTTTGTTTGGTTTTTTGTCAATTGCCTAATTTGGAACCCAATACAAATAGACCCTTAGACTCATTTTTTCATTAAATTGGTTGACACTTAGATGGTAACCGAGAGAGGAAAAAGCCCTATCTTTTGTTCTTTTTTGAACTCTTGATCTTCACAGGATCTTTTTTTAATTTTATGAAGTAGTGATCTAAACAAGGTAATTTGATTCCTTGTTAAGATTTCCTGACTCTTTGACAAACTTGATTGACTTTTTATTCTAATTCCAACGTTCTGTGTTTTGATACATGCATTGTACGATTGAACGGAATTCAGGGTTAGTTCCGTTTTTATTCGTTGTTTGAATATTGTTAATGTATTCAGTTCCATATACCGTTTATTATGTTAATTTCACCCAACACATATCTTTATTTAGATTATGCGTATTGTTCTTTAGATTATTGAATAGAGTTAATTGCAAAACTCTAGAATTAGCTAATTCAATATCATTCCACTATTGAGAATGCTATCGGGGAGTCATTGATTTACTTCCCGTGGTAACAGTACATAACCTTCTCTTATATTTTGTTGAATGGGAGGGAAGTAAATAACGCTGACTCCTCATTTTCATTCAAATCTGGAGGGGTTAAAACATTAAACAACGAATGAATTGCCCATCCTCCACCTCTAATTCCTTTGTTAATTTATTTCCCGAGCAAACAAAGTAAGTCCAGTAGCTAATTCACAGTTATTTTACTTCCCCACCCACTGCTACACCTCACTTGGTGTAAACTAGAGTGCAGCCATCTTATCCACTAAACTCTCTAGAAGTTATTTCTTTGAGTCGGAGCTAAAACTTAAAACAAAAGGACTGGGAAACAACGGCATGGGAACCATGGGACCCCTTAGTAGTAAAGGGCAGACAAAAGCGCATTCCTGCACACCAGCTGAGGCCTTTTTCTTTTTGGAGATTTCCCATTACTTTACTAATAGAAAGGCTTCCCTTATTCAGTTGAACTACGCTACCGCATGAACAATGGATCCGTTGAGCTAGGTAAGCATCCAGATCTTGATCCAGAGATATTGCTTCAGAAATCAACTGAGCTCAGGAAATCACGTTAAGACGTCGATCTCCCCAACAATCACAACGTTGAACTGATTTCTCTCTTTCTATTCCTTGCAAATGGAAATAAAAACTACGCACCATCTGCCCTAAAGTTATTCAAATTCCACCTCAGAGGAAACAAGAGGCCTCCTTTTTTAAAGTTTCTGATTTCATGCTATCACCATATCTAAGGAAAGCAAATTCAATTTCAAGTTAAAATAAATGGTTTCTGCGGCATTTATGTCTCCTATTTTTTCCACCACTAAATATAGAGTTGGGGCAATTCTTCTTTCCTTCTAGTCCTCTCAAATGCACACAAATAGTTTCTATTTTTCATGAAAAAAGACGCCTATTATTCCGTTTCAGGAACATTGTATCTATTCACAAGCTCAAGAACCATACACACACATCCGCAGTTAACATAGTAAATGTTTAATGCCCTCTCCCCCCAAATAAAAAGGAAAAATGTTACCCAAAAGTTCCAGTAACTAATAAAAGTCAGCTCTCCAAGTATTCGAACCAAATTTTCTTTAGTACCCAAATACTTAAACACCAAACAACAAAAACTAACCTCAATCCTGAACTAGTTTGGACCCGTTTCATTCCAATTATCAAGCAGGAATAATAAAAAGGAAAACAGTGAATTTAGAAACGAAATTAGGAAAGTACCAGAAAAGCGGATTTGGCAAGACCAGCAAAAGCGAAACGGTGATCAGGGTTGATAGTGAGCTTTGCATTGATGAAGAGAATGACGGCTTGCTTCATAGCGTCCAACCTCGTATAGGGTCGCCCACCCGCTGTAGTTGAAACTTTCATTTCCACGAGTGATTCACTGTCCACATCTATGCAGAACAGTATGTCTTCGCTCGCTAAACGATTTGGTTTTAGACTGTACCCACCACTGTCTTCTACCTCTATTACCTCCATTTTCTCCGGCACTCAAATTGATCTCCCCTCTCTCTCTCAAATTCGAACAGTCTCTCTTTTCCCAATAAATTTTTGCTGCTGCTTCTCTCTCTCTCCTGCCTGATTTTTCCTTCCACTTTTTTCTGGCCTGATTTTTTCCTTCTTTTGTTTTCATTTTCTTTATTTCTCCTACATTGAATGGTCGTATCTGCCCTTAAACTTTAGGAAATTGTCCTAATTTACCCTTCATTATTATTTGTGGCCATATCACCTTTTTCTCGTTATCAAAAAGGCTATATTTACCCTTACTTATATCGGTTCTAGAGCTTTCTCTTTAATCTAATTTTAAAGGATTTTTTATTAGGGATAATTTCACATAAGTATAACTCACACACATTACTTGCAACATAATAGCCTAGATATCACATTGCAAATCTATAGCCCAAAAATAATAGGCTAATTCCCGAAAAAACAGCTTATTTCACACAATCAACTACTGTTATTGCTCTCTCTTTATACAACCAGTTGTTTTCATTCTCTTGATTTCCTTTGATTATTAAGCATTTGATAAAAAAATGCAAATAAGCCACAAGGCAACTCAAAAATCCTATCTTGAATAATACATATTATCTGAAGGTAAGAAATTCAAACACCTTTATGTGCAATTGCTGAAGCAATCCAACAGGATAAAAGAAAAATAAAAAATTGATAAATGAATTGTAGAATTCCTCCAACGCGTACAAATCTGTTTCATATAGCACATACACGAAAAAGAAGAAGAGAAGGAAGTGTCAAACTTCTGTAGAGACCTCTTACACGCTAACAATGTATATACATCCTTACAAACTGAAAAAATATATATTTATACAACATTATACAAAAATATACACATTTATACACAATTATACAATATTGTATAACTTGTATAAACATGTATAATAGTGTATAAGAGGTGTTTGTATATCCATATACACAATTATACACTATTATACAGTGTCGATACAACCTGCTACATAGTTATGATTTTCCAGAACTTCAAACTTCAAACTTCAGTATCTTCCAAAATTACCAGAACTTCAAACTTCAAAATCCTCCAAAATTAGTGGTTTTTTGTTGGTGCAAATCAAGTTTGAGAGCTATTTATTTTCAGATCTGTGTGTATTTCACGTTTCTTTCAAAAATCGTCTTCGTTCTTCTGCTTGCCACCATGGACGACTGAGTCTTTCTTCGAGCCTTCTTCGAGCCATTAATGGCAGAACTGTGTGGGGGGTAAAGGAGGGGGAATAGCGGGGGCTAGGTTAAGAGAGGATGAGGGATCTATGTGGGTTAGAGAGAAAGAAGTGAGAGGCGGTGAGAGAGAGAAGGGAATGAAGAAAGAAGAAAATAATAAAAACCCTAAAAGTATGTCTTTAATAATGGGCTAAAGGCTGAAAAGTTTCTTTCAAATTATGTACAACATGGGCTATATAGAGTAAGAGCTTCAAATGTGGGCCATTTTCGGTTGGGCTATTAGGCCAAGTGACATGGGCTGTAATTCTTTCTTTTTCTTACTACGAGGAGTATACGATTTAACCAAAATCTAGTTATTAGATTCATTTCTGAATCTTTGGCTTATGTCATGTGCTCCAAATTTAAACTCAATTTTCTTTTTTTCATCAATATCTGCTTCTCATTCAACAAACTAATGAAAGTGCTTTCCCTTTGTGTGGGCCTTTTTAACAATGAGACATGGATCAAATTTGTCATTGAACTATGCTAAATAGTTCAAATTTGTCCCTAAACTTTGAAGAATGGGGTTATTATTCCTGTAAGTACTAGTTTTTTCAACACTCAGAACCTCCAACAATTATAGCCTATTTGGCCAAGTTTTTTTTTTGGGCCAAAAGTATTTTTTTTGGCCAAAAGTATTTTTTTCCAAAAATTGAGGTGTTTGGCCAAGCTTTTAGAAAGAAAGAAAGTGTTTTTGAGGAGAAGAGTTTTTGAGAAGCAGAAAAAAGTAGTTTCTCTCCAAAAGCACTTTTATGAGAAGCACTTTTGAGAAAAATACACTTAAAAGCAATTTTTAAAAGCTTGGTCAAACACTAATTACTGCTCAAAAGTGTTTTTCAAATTAATTAGCCAAACACAAATTGTTTCTAACCAAAAGTATTTTTTTGAAAAATACTTTTGAGAAAAGTACTTCTCAAAATAAGATGATTTTAGAAGCTTGGCCAATCAGGCTATTAGTCTCCATCCCCTTTAACTACCCTCAAGCCTCAAATCGGGCCAGATAAAACTCAAAGTCTCAAACAATGAACTCTCACCTCTGTCGAAACGCCATCGACACAACTCCATTATTAATCTTTCTTAAATCACCAATAGTGATGCTAGAGGTCTACATCGACCTCCTAATACTAAAATAAAATCAAGTACACAAAAATTAACTTGCAATAATATTGTAACGGTCAAGGTAAGGTTATAGTGGTTGGGTCTATGGTCTTCAAGTAGAAGTAAAATGATAACCTAGAAAAATGGTAAAGATAAAGGTCTAAAAGAGATCATCTAAACGAGTGATTTTCGTGTGTCGTGTGACGAACTCGTAGGAATTTGATGATTGTAAATAATCAAGTACTTTTAAGTGTTATAATTGATTTAATATTTTTTTCTTGCCAAAAGGATTCATCACTGATAAGTTATGCGTCTTTTGTTTTAATGATTTGACAAACTTCATGAGAGAACCAGATAAGGAACCTGATATACTTAGTTCCCTTGCGTTCAGAGTAACTAGTCAGATGTCTGGTTCAATTTTCAATGAAATTAGATAAGGGAGCAACAGAGGGAACGGATAGGGATCATTTTCCCTTATCGTCGTGCAGTCAACTCTATAGCTCTTAAAACTGCTGCATTGTACTGTCAGGTACGCTGCTGCACTGTACCGTCTGGCAGCGATACAGCAGCACATCTGTAGCTTGCTAAGGCCAAACTAAAGGACACTTTATTGCATCATCCTTGATGACATCACACACACACATATTATCAACATGAGGCAAGAAATTTCATTTTCCTAACACTTGCAAATCCAAAAAATCATATTCTCTCAAGTGCTAGCCACCACCTCTCTCAAGAACAAAGATGTTGCAACCTCAAGGACCAGATCCAAAGATTGAAGATATCTTAAAGTCCTTAGGTTTGTTAAGTCTTTGTTATTTTGTTCTTCATTTATAATCCTACACTACTTTCAAGAAGTGTCTTTGTAGGACAGATTTAAACCATTGTTTGGTTTAGTTTCTTGACTAAAGTTTGTCAAGGTTTGTTGCTTTGTAATAGAATTATTACAAAGGGCTTACGATAGAGTTATTGTAAGGAGCGAGGGATTAAGAGTTTAACTCCTAGATTGCAATAGGTTGTAATCTGAAGTTTGCTCGATTTAGTGGAGTTTAAATCCTACTAGGGTAGGTAGTAGTTTTTAATCCCTTGAGCAAGGAGTTTTCCACGTAAATATAGTGTGTTTTTTATTTGCTGCCGATTTACTGCGGGAACAGATAGAGAACTTGGTTCCCTATACTATTTGGTTTTACAGTTTGTTGCTTATTGTATGAACTGATAGAGAACCCGGTTCTCTATATTGTTTGGTGGACTCCTAGTTTCTATCAATTGGTATAAGAACATGTTCTTTCTACAAGGTTAACAGACAGAAAGGATCCTCACGGCTGCTCCAGTGAACTTCGAGGAAGGACAATCAACGTACAGACCACCAAGATTCAACGGCCAAACTATGGTTGGTGGAAAACAAGAATGCGTGACTTTATCTTGGCGGAGGACTCAGAGTTGTGGGATGTAATATGTGATGGACTTTTTGTTCCATGAAAACTGTTGGTGGGGGAACAATTACAGTCCCAAAAATAAGAAAAGAGTATAACGATGCTGATAGAAAGACTATTGAGAAGAATTTCAGGGCAAAGAAGAATCTTGTTTGTGGCATCGAACCAGATGAATACAACCTCATCTTAGCTTGTCAGTCTGCTAAGGAGATTTGGGAAGCTCTTCAAACTGCCCATGATGGAAGTACTCGGGTTAAGCAGTCCAAGATTGATATGTTTACTATTGAGCAAGAGCTTTTCAAGATGAAGGAGGATTAGTCTATTCAGGATATGCACACACGTTTCACCTCCGTTATCAATGAGCTTCACTCCCTTGGAGAAGACATCCCAAGAAACAAGTTGGTCCAGGAAATACTCGGTGTTTTACCAGGTTTGTGGGAAATTAAAGTGAATGCTATCACTAAAGCCAAGGACCTGCAAAAGCTGACCATTGATGAACTCATTTGAAATCTCAAAACGTATGAGATAAAGAGAAAGAAAGATCTTGAAAGAAGAGAGCCCAAGAAGGAGAAGAACCTAGTTCTCAAAGCTGCACACATCGACTTAAATAGTGATGAATCCGACATGACGTATCTCACTCGAAGAATTCAAAAGTTGATTCGTAGAAATGGTAGGATCCCAAAGAAAGGAAGTTCCAACAGGAATTTTGAAGGAAATGATTGTTGTCATAAGTGTGGAAAGCATGGACACTTCATTAAAGGTTGTCATCTTCATAAGCACGATCATTACAAAACCAACATTGATAAGGCAGCTAAGGCCTCATTTGTTTGTACTTAACGGAGGTCTGAATCTTATTAATTCAGATCTCAGACATTAAGTGCGTTTGTTTTTAAAGTCTGAATTTTAATTATTAAGTGTGTTTGTTTTTTTACTTCACAACCACTTAATTGGTCTAAATAGCTCTGTATGATTAAGATCCATAACACAGACTTAATTTTATTAAGATGCAATCATCCATATCCATTATTAATTGTTGCCGCCGCCTACCATTATTAACTACCATTATGTCGCCGCCGCCACCATCATACTCAACCACCACCACCATCATCATCCTCAATCATAGCATCCACCATAATCGACTACCACTACCCACCGTCTGCATCACTCCTACCACTATCATTCTCAAACACAAACAACACTCATCCACCTCAACTACCACAACTAACCACCCCATCACCATCAACAACCATAACCGATAATGCACATCATTATTAACTACCACCACCATCATCAATCATACTCGCTACCACTACTAATCACCACTGGCTACTACCCTAAACATCAACCAACA